TGGCAGAGATTTCCATGGATACGTATCAATTGTTTAGTCCTTGGGTTTCCCATTGTCTTTGCGGTCCCTCCACTGATATGGGTCTATTTTAGCCAGTTTTTTAACAACCCATTCATTCCACTCCACACACTTACATGACACAGCACCTCATGTTTCCTGCTCTGCCCCTCGAGCAGCTTTTTAATGCTTCTGCAATCACTGAGTAGCAATGAAAAGTAGAGAGGGAATCCAAGGCACATAATGGAATCATAAAATACATTACAGCAAATTCCCACAGTGCAATCACCTACAAAAAATGCATCATGGGGAGCTGTGATGTCCACGCAGAGCAGATGGGTCCAACGTCCCATCCGAAACAGCCAGCCAAAATAAACAGCATGGGATCAACGGAAGAAGTAGACTCAATGTGGACAAAGTATAATATTTGATACCAATGAGAGATGGACCAAAATGATTTTTCTTCCTAACTCAGCTGCATGTTTTCCCACCATATCCCTCCCTCTTTCAGAAATAAAGTGATTCTGAAATTATTTTAATTCCCTTTGTGCTGTATCATCTCACAGACTAGTCAACCCTAGAGGTACCAAGTGGCCCAGTGAACTCTTCCCTCGAGATTAGCAGGCACTTACCAGTGTGAAAGAAGCAGAGATGATAAAATATGCCCTGGAAGTTCATGATGAAGTCTGCGTGTTCTCTGCTCCGTCTCCAGCCTTCAGAATTCCAGCGATCAATGCTTTTATAGTATATTCTGGTCAGTCTGCTCCTCTTCAGACCACTCCTTGTTGGAAATCAAGACCCTCACGCTGCATAACAATTACTCTTTGTTACTCCAGCACACAACCCATTCTAAAGGGAGAGGGAAAAAACTGCATCCGTTTATATTAACTTCAGTCTTGAAAAGGAAACAAACTACAAATGCAAAATTCCTGGGACACTGGAGCAAATTATGACCTGTCATTGCTTAAGCACCACCTACTGGGTCAAATGTGTAATAACATGTTGATCATGGGTGTAGAGTGAGATTGTGAAATAAAGTGTTCAGGACCTTTTGTTTTGTTTTGTTTTGATCAGGTGCTAATATTCCTATCAAGCTTTTTCCATATGGAGATCAGGAAGTGCACATTGATGCAGTTATGCCCTTCACTCAATAGACCTGTCACTTATCACAGGCAAGTGGGCTTGAGTCACAAAAGAACTTCTACCTGCCACTTTAGGTGCCTAAATGCCAGAAGCAGGTCCCACTGGGATTCACAAAACCCCCACTAAGCTGCCGCCAAAAGCTCTAGCTACTCAAGCTCCCTGGGTGCCTAAGTTTTTGCTTCTGTGCATGTGCCCTGCTGCTTCCATCCAGGCGTCCAGATGTCTAAGCCCCACTGTGATGCACAAACCAGAAGATTGCCCTTTATTTTTTATTTTTGTTTGCCTTAATTTGTATAGTTATAAATAGAATTCTGGCACCATTTGTTTTTAATTGTAAGTTTGTCCGGTTGCAAATACAAATACTCACCAGCAACCACACATCACTGAACAAAACCACTGACCCAGGAACCTATCCTTGTAACAAACCCCGATGCCAACTCTGTCCACATATCTATTCAAGTGACATCATCATAGGACCTAATCACATCAGCCACACCATCAGGGGCTCGTTCACCTGCACATCTACCAATGTGATATATGCCATCATGTGCCAGCAATGCCCCTCTGCCATGTACATTGGCCAAACCGGACAGTCTCTACGCAAAAGAATTAATGGACACAAATCTGACATCAGGAATCATAATACTCAAAAACCAGTGGGAGAACACTTCAATCTCTCTGGTCATTCAATGACAGACCTGCGGGTGGCTATTTTACAACAGAAAAGCTTCAAAAACAGACTCCAACGAGAGACTGCTGCACTGGAATTGATATGCAAACTAGATACAATCAATTTAGGATTGAATAAGGACTGGGAATGGCTGAGCCATTACAAACATTGACTCTATCTCCCCTTGTAAGTATTCTCACACTTCTTATCAAACTGTCTGTACTGGGCTATCTTGATTATCACTTCAAAAGTTTTTTTTTCTCTTACTTCATTGGCCTCTCAGAGTTGGTAAGACAACTCCCACCTGTTCATGCTCTCTGTATGTGTGTGAATATATCTCCTCAATATATGTTC